AAGGGGGGGGGGGAGGAGGAGGGAGTCAGCACACAGCTGATGTATGTATGGGGATTTCAACAGATAACTCGCATAATAAGATTATTTAAGGTGTTGATGCTCCCTCCCCTGTGTCACTGGGAAGGAACAGGGCAGGTAAGATTGATTTGTAGGGAGGGGACTGGTAATTCCAGGTGACCTACGTGATCTGTGTGCTATTGTTTTAAAGAGAGTTAGAGAGCATGAGTGGCCAGCAAACAGCTTGCTTTGTATACAGTGATCAGATGAGAGAGCTGGAAATTTTCTGTAGTTTTCTTTAGATTGTAGTTCTGGACAAGCATTTATTTCCTTACCATTGAATTAATACCTCATAGAATAGATACAAATATGCAGTCATTCTTGTAGGGCCACTGGCTTTTTGGAACCAAATACAGCATTATTTTCTGGATATAAGAGGATGCTTGAAACAATAGCTCTGCAATCTGGTTGGGGATCTATGCAATATCAACTTATGTCTCCCATTGCCCTCAGACTAAACAGACCCTCTAGTTTAATTATGTATATTAGAGAGAAGGAGATGCAGTGAAGGTGACGGCAAGTACCTTTTTGAGAGTTAGTAGTGACTCACAATGAGAAATAGAACTGGCTATGACATGAGTAATATGATCTCCATGTAAACTCACATTCTTCATCCTCTGATGCTTTGCCCTATGCTGGGATCAGCATCATTCTCTGGCCATATGGTTTGGCTTCCCAGTGGAAGGTAAGGTAGGGTTGCTCCTTATAGACTAATTGAATTGGAAATGCGTAAGCTTTCTGATGCATAGCATCTGATGAAGTGAGTTGTACCTCATGAAAGCTTATAGACTAACAGAATAAGAGGTGCATAAAGTGTGCCTCTGCCTTGCCATCCATTGAACTAATGTGGCAATCTCACTCTTCCAGTAGAGGAAAGTTGATGGCATGGAACCTATGTGTGCTATAAGTGTAACTCTTTTTTTACTTACTCTATGTGGATACATGAGTTAAAGAACAGGGAAATATTCCTCCTCTTCCCTCCTCCTCCACTATTTCTCAGGAATATTGGTTCAATACTGATGCCTTAAGAATTGATTTGAAACAGACCCGTGTAGAAAGCAAACTGTTTTGCATCTCAGATACCTACTTTTACCCAGATCTTGCATAACCAGAAACTGACAATATCACAAACATTTCTTTAAAGATTAACAACTTGCTCAGCTGTTTAAACACACATGAGCATGCCCTCCCCCACAAACAATACTGAGATGGTGCCAATGGTAAAGCCTGTTATCACAATAAAGACTTTTTGTTGGGTTTGTGGTACATATTTTAGGTCTCTCTGTTTCTGGTACTAAACCAGAGGCATTACAGAGAACAGACTGTGCCACGAGGTTTGCAGTATTTTGTCCTTTCTTGAGTATATCCATGGACCGTATCATTAAGTTCTTGATCTTTAAATAATGTTGAATTGTTACAGAAGCTGGAGGCAACAAGAAATGTGAAGGTGCATGAGTCATCTGGAGCAGAACCGCTTGAATGGAGCAAATAAAGCCTTAATGTCAGCTTCCCTCTTAATACTGCTGCTGACTGAAAAATTGTGGGGAGGAGAGTCAATTAGGCGGGAGGAAAGGTGAGTGGCAGAAGGAACAATTCATCATTATTTTCCCCAGTGATAAGCAGTGATTTATATCCCTTTTAAAGGCTGCTCCAAAGTCCATTGATGTCAGTGGAAGAATCAATAGGCTTTGAATTGGGATCTTAAATACTAACTTTCAAAATGGGCCTAATTTTTTTTAAAAAGGAAGAAAAATAGATCAATTTTTAAATTTAACACTTGATATTAGAGTAGTATCTAGAGGCCACTTGGGTCAGGGTCCCATTGTGCTAGGAGCTACTGAAATATATAGACCTGACCAGTGCTGAGAAGCAAGTCTCAACCACTTGCTCCTGCTCTACAGGCACCAGGTGCTGAAAAAATGTTACATGGTTGTCATTAGAACAGTGCTAGGTGTGCCCTGTGCTGTACTCAGGGGCACATCAGAAACTGAAATCCCTGAGTACATACTTAAAGGGGATTGTAATGGTCATGGGGTTCAATAAATACAGGCATACATGAAAAGGCTTTGTAACATGCTGCACTTCAAGCTTCTCAAATATTGATTGGTGTGATTGTTGATAGCAGTTGTGACTTGCCACTAGATGGCTGGAGAGCAGGGGCCTTACTTGGAGCAACAGCTGAGGGTTGTCCACACAGAAGGATGGGTAAAGGGGATACTGCATCCTGGGATGCTGGAGGACTGAAACTTGGGCAGTTTATCTCTGGGGGTTGGCCACGTACATTTGAGGAACACAAGCTGGGTAACATGGATCAGAGATGTGCCACTCCAGGGCTGGCGTAACTTTAAGATGCTTAAAGGGTGCTTAAGACTAGTTTACATTCCTTAATGTGAACAATCCAACACATTAACAAAATTAATGTGTAGCAAAGCCCTCATGAGAAGAACTAAACAATGAACTGCACTGTGGACTAATAGGGAGCCTCTGAAGACTCTTTATTTTCCATTAATAAACTAGTGAACAGCCGTCTCCAAGTTCCTGACTTCTGTCGTATTCTGTTAGGGAGCATCACTAAATTATAACTTCTATTTCTACACTGGGCGGATGAGAATCGGATGATATTCAATACCGACAAGTGCAAGGTGCTGCACCTGGGGAGGAAGAACCAGCACCGTATGTACAGGTTGGGGAACTCCCTTCTTGCCAGTACAGAGGCAGAAAAGGATCTTGGAGTCATTATTGACTCCAAAATGAACATGGGCTGGCAGTGTGGGGATGCAGTCAGGAAGGCCAACCGTACCTTGTCATGCATCCACAGATGTATCTCAGGCAGGTCCAAGGAGGTGATCCTCCCCCTCTATGTGGCACTGGTTAGGCCGCAGCTGGAGTACTGCATCCAGTTCTGGGCACCGCACTTCAGGAGGGAATTGGACAACATGGAGAGGGTCCAGAGGAGGGCCACTCGCATGATCAGGGAGCAGCAGGGCAGGCCCTATGAGGAGAGGCTACGGGACCTGAACCTGTTCAGCCTCCACAAGAGAAGGCTGAGAGGGGATCTGGTGGCCTATTACAAACCAGTCAGAGGGGACCAGCAGGCACTGGGGTGTCCCTGTTCCCCCGAGCACTACCAGGAGTGACCAGGAATAACGGTCCCAAGCTGGCAGAGGGGAGATTTAGGCTAGACATCAGGAAGTGCTACTTCACGGTCAGGGCGGCTAGGATGTGGAACCAACTTCCAAGAGAAGTGGTGCAGGCTCCTACCCTGGGGGTATTTAAGAGGAGGTTAGATGTACACCTTGCTGGGGTCGTTTGACCCTAGTACTCTTTCCTGTCATGGTAGGGGGTTGGACTAGATGATCTGCTCAGGTCCCTTCCGACCCTAGAAACTATGAAACTATTGACTGCATGACATTTTAGGCAAGTGCCTCATGTACAGTGGGATTTCTGAGCGGGGCCAGTTTCTTAAGGATGGTCAGGCAGTATAGATATATTCTTAGTCACCAGGTGACTATGGACTTACATAACTATGTACTGTCAGATGCCATAATGAAAGAATCTCAACCACATAATTTAATTGTTTTCACTTCCTTTTACTAAGGAAGTAGTGTGATTTACTGGCTTTTAACACAATACTGAGAGTTAGATGATCTGTTTCTGTTCCTTGTTCTACCCGTAAGGCTGGAAATAGATGTGCATTCCCCATGTTGCACCAAAAATACCCCAAATTTGTGGCTAAAACATAGGTGGCTTAAATTTGCGGTGCTCTTTTGCAGCAGATATCTATTTGCTACATGGCAGGAGCAGCCCAGAGTTTTCTGCACTGCCCCGGGCAGGCACTCCCAGAGCTTCAGGGGCCTGTCCTGACCTATCTCAGATTCACCCTTAAGATAAACCTCCAGAAAAGGATTTATATTACCAATGAAAAATAACAGCAGAAGCAGACATTAAGCTCCGGTCAAAAGTATAGTGTAATTTTAAAAATCTTTGTTACAGTTATTGTGTAAATCAACAAATGCCAGAAAATGTAGAGCCAAGGCTAGCATGCAAACTTTGACATTCCCACCGTGTTTAAGAACAATAGGAACATGCATCACTATAAACTGAGCTGAGGTCTACAGGATCTCTCTCTCTCTCTTTCTCTCTCTCTCTCTCTCTCTCTCTCTCTCTCACACACACACACACACACACACACACACACACACACACACACACACACTTTCTCTCTCTCTCTCTCTTTAAACTGAGCACTAAGATCTGTAGGACATTTCAAAAGGATCTCAAGAAGAAATTTCTATGACCTCCTATGGTATTAATGTGGCCCACTCTAGCAGTAATGACAAGTTACCAAATTGGCCATCCATGTAAAATAAGTTTTATTTCCATGTCCTCAGTGGTCTTTGTGTAGTTCTTAACTGACAAGTTTTTGAATGACACAACATCCCACACATAAACATGGATAACTGATTAAGATGAGTGAACTTCTAAAAGTTTCATTCAGTGATGTCTATGTATAGCCTTAATGGTTGCTATGTGACATTGGCAAGTCACCTAACCATGCTATTTTTATGTTTTTTTCCTGTGTAAAATGGGACTAATAATATTTAAATGAAGTTGTTGTAAAGTTTAATAAAGGTCTTTGCTACTAATGGATGGATAATATTAAATGCATGCAAAAGTTTCTTTAATGTGTTACATGAATCCACATCTGAAACTTTTAGAAGTTCACTCATCTTAATCAGTTATCCATGTTTATGTGTGGGATGTTGTGTCATTCAAAAACTTGTCAGTTAAGAACTACACAAAGACCACTGAGGACATATAAATAAAACTTATTTTACATGGATGGCCAATTTGGTAACTTGTCATTACTGCTAGAGTGGGCCACATTAATACCATAGGAGGTCATAGAAATTTCTTCTTGAGATCCTTTTGAAATGTCCTACTGATCTTAGTGCTCAGTTTAAAGAGAGAGAGAGAGAGAGAAAGTGTGTGTATGTGTATGTGTGTGTGTGAAAGAGAGAGAGAGAGATCCTGTAGACCTCAGCTCAGTTTACAGTGATGCATATTGCTATTGTTCTTAAACATGGTGGGAATGTCAAAGTTTGCATGCTAGCCTTGGCTCTACATTTTCTGG